CAAGGCAGGCGGCGAAACCACTGATCTAGATACCTGGACCTTTTATTTTAGCTATTAAGAGAGCAGTGATTATTCTAATATTGAAATAGAGACAAGAAAATAGAGATAATAAACAAAAGGAGAAAGTTTCATTCCTAGTAGCTAGAGATCAGAGTTCCTGCTACATATAAATGGGTTGTAAATGTGTAGGAGAGAATACAAAGGAAAAATTGTCAAAATTGCCAATAGGGGATGGGTCAGTTTGCTGGAACTATGTTCTCTCCTTTCTTCCTTCTCCCTGCTTCCTTCCCTCTCTACTAAGCCCTTGAGAATTGCCATAAATGCCCCAGAAAGGAAACAGGTGTGACTAAGGTTCCAGCCACATGACACAAGAGCAAAGGGCAGTTAGGACAAAAAAACCACATTCCAAAATTGGTCTTTTGACTTGCCATGAAAAGATTATCAATGTCCTGGTGGTACAAAGACCAACAGCATATGCTTGAACTGTGAATGCTAGGAGAATATTCTTTAGGTTTTTTAAAGTTATAAAAAATTTTATTTCCTGTAGTGCAACAAATTCCTTTTCACTCCCTACTTCTCTTCTTGATTTGCAGAAGAACGGAAGGAGCTAAAACACAAAACCAAAGCAAACAACAGCCAAAACAAACAGAAAAGCAGAGTGGTGGGCCATGTCTGTAATCCCAGCATTCAAGGAAGGCTGAGGCAGCAGGGTTGCAAGTTCAAGTTTGAGCCTAGCTTGGACAATTAGCAATTTAGCAAGATCCTGTCTCAAAATTTAAAAAAGGGTAGGGATGTAGCTCAGGGATGAAAGCCCTAGGTTCAATCCCTAGTATGGAGAAAACAAAAAAATGCTAACAGAGCTGGCCTGAGGCTCTGATGGAAGTTAAGGAATGAAGGCTCTGTTGTATGATGTTCTGGTCAGTTTTTGGCACATGAAAGGGCGTGAAGGGCAGCAGAGAGCTGACTTGGGTTTCAATTTCAATTTTGCATTTTACTCCTTCCTCCCCATGCAACCTTGGTGGAACAGTCAATCTCTCAGAGTTAATATTTTCTTCTAGGATTAAAGGTATTAATGAATTCAGGTAATATTACAACTGACAGGGATCTCAAAGATAATCAATTTTTTTCATTTTAGAGGCAGAAAATTAAATAACAATAACAAAGGTTATAGTAATAATAATTACAATTATAGCTCACATTTTTCACATTTAATATGGTCTAGGCACTAGTCTAAGCACTGTATGAGTATTCTATTATCATAATAATCCCCACTTGATAGCAGTATTATTACCCCCATTTATAGGTAGGGAAGCTGAGGTGCAGTGAGGTTCAATACTCAAGTTGGTACAACCGGTAAATGGTAGAGTTGGCTTCAAACCCAGAAAGACTGCCTCAGAACCCATGCTCTTGAATACCACATTCTTATGCTAAGCCATAAATTCTCCATTTACTCTCTTTCATACAGGAGGTTCACTCAACTCAGGAAAGAGGTATATAACCTGAGCTAGTGCTGCATATGGTCCTAAATTCAAAGCCCTACAGGCACATATTCCCAGTATGTGGCAGTGACTGACAGTGGCTACTCTGTTCCCTCCAGGTTCCCTGAGATCATAAATTCACTCCAACCAAGTTTTCTACAAGCGTGCTTTCACAGATGCAGTGCAGTCCACCCAACCCAGGATGCCCTGTTCTGTATGGCACCTTTTCCAAAGTCAGATTGCCACTGCTGTCTGTCTGCTGACAGCTTCTCTTTCCTTGTCCCTCTCCCTTTTTCTCTCTAACTAGTCTCTTGAAATTCACTCGAGCTGCTATTACATTTGTATTAGAACACCCAGTGTGATACTCTTTATTTCTTTTCACCAGCTCCAACACTTGCACATCTTTTGTTAGGCATTATGTATCAAAACTGCTTCTCAGAGCAAAACTAAATGGCAGAGAGAATAAACTCCACCAATGTAAAAGACAGACTCCTCTGGATAGCGTGGTAGGTTGTGAACTGGGTAAGATTGGTTGCAGAGTTGTACACTTATTGGTTGAGAGAGGAGGCTACATTTGCCACAATAGTTTGCCTTGGCTAATAGCACCCAGAGCCTGGTACAAATATATTAACAGAATATGGTAATGAACTCTTGCTGAAAGAACAATAGCATGAATATCAAATTATTGCTGCATAGAGAAGTGCTAAATAGGCAATGTGTGTTTTAAGCTCAAAAAGGTTTGATGACTTGTCTCAAAGTGACAGGTAGTAAGTGGTAGAACCCTTTTGCAACCCAGGTTCTCTATTTCTCAGGACACTGTTTTGCCATTGGGATGATATTTGGCTCCTAAGTCTATGTGAGGAACAACTAAAATGAAATAAAAAAGCACCCTGTGACCAATTTCAGACACCTGGATAAGACACATAAGATCTGACTTCACCTGCCACTTCAGCCACATATTTCACACCTGCTGTTCTTCTGCTTGAGGTGACCACTTCTCCATTAACTTCCTACCACCCCTCCTCCAGTTGGAAACACCCATGAATCTTCCACGAACTGGTCTCAAAATCACTTTATCTGTGAAACCTCCTGACTTCCCAGCATTTTTTATAGCCCATATGGTCAGAACACTCACCACATAAGATTATAATTGATTATCTCTCTATCCTTCTTAATAAGGGAACTCTTTGAGGACAGAGACTGTATGTCATTTATCTCTGTATCGTCAAGGCCCAGCACTGGACCTAGATCATTATATAGAGAAGGAAGACAGAGAGGGAAATATGGGAGGTATAGCCTCTTGAAATTATAGAGCATTACAGAGAAACAGAATATTACTAGCAAGAGAAAGGTGGCCATTATTAGATGCTCTCATACTGGAAAGGAATGAGCTTACTGTTTTCACAGGCACAAAGCTCAGGCAAAAATAGAGGCCAATGGTAATGCTAGTAAAAAGAAGACTTCTTATTTCTTATTTACCTGCTTGATGAAGAGGTACACAGGTGCCTCAAGATAGAAAGAGTACCTGTAATTAATGCCATTCACTATCAATAATTTGATTAGCTGAATAATCACATAATTTAGAGAACATAGAAACTTAAGAAACTTTGTTTAATTCATGGTACTAAGATATTTATTTTATCAGGAGCATGTAGTTAAGTGTGCTTAAACACAACCAGGTAGGATTTGGTTTGGTCATCCTCATCTGAGGATTTTAGAAAAACCAGGAGAGAAAAGAAGCCTCCTCAGGGATTTTTTCCTTACAGTACAATTTTTACAAAAAGCTGAGTGTACAACTTGCAAAATAATAAGCTTCAGTGATAACACAAGCTTCAGCTACAATTATCACAAAGAGCAAGTCTGCTGCTCAAGCTTCCGACTTATCCTTATGACTACAGAACAGTCTGAAATGTCACATTCAAGTTGAAGTGACTTCAGCCAATTAGGTAATTTTCACCAAATTGGGTCCATTAATACTTGGACATTATCTTGAGGGGGAAATAGGACTTGGTGACAAGGTGCAATGTAGCTTGTGAAATATTAGTTTTGGACAATCGCAAATCAAGATCTAAGGGTATGTTAAATTATCCAGTATTCTTGACCTCATTATTAAATGACTTCATATGGGTTTTTGCTCATATTCATATTAATCTCAGGATCCAAGGAGTTTAATTTTGTTCCCTTTCCCCAGCTCTATATCTATATCTATATCTATATCTATATCTATATCTGTATCTCCTATTTTATTTTATAATTTAAAGAGCAGTGGCTATGGTTTTGTTTGAGGAAAATACAACAAGAACACTTGCTTGTACAATGACAAATATCGGAAACATGAATATTACTTAGAAATTTTGTTCCCAATGCCTTTCTTTGCTAGCACAACAATTTTCCAATCAAACATCTGCCTTGGTCCACTGTATATGGAACAGAAAGGTGCAATTTGTAACCTATGGCTTCATAAATGAGTCAGAATTTCAAGGCCCTGTTGGCTTCTGGAAGTGTTCTAAAATAACAGCAACAGTAGTATTTTCTAGGTAACTGGAGAAGGCTACAAAAACACTCCAGGAGAGAGCATGTACCAAAGATGCTTGTTGATTCTATGTTGTTTCAAAGATGTTAGGAATAATGATCAGTTGATATTGACAGGATTTCTACAACTAAGAAATGTGTTGTATATTTAAAACCTTAAATTAATATTCCTGTAAGTTCTAAAGGAATTTAATCAATTACACAATTATTCTAAGAATACCACTAGCAGATATAAATTTATAAGTTAAAATATCTCATTGAGGACAGAGCAATGATTTGGACCTGAATATGAACAATACCAGATAGTGTGACTGAATCAGTGAACATTTGCCAAAATAAAGGTAGATAGCATTAAGCTGGTTGCTCATGGAACACATCATCAGAGCACAATTTCTTCTGTTAGATATGTGTTTTATAAATTTGCTCATGATTCAGACAAAAACACACACTGAAAGCAGAGATACAGAACTCCATCTCATCATATCCCAGCTAGATGGGACCAGAGCAGATATAATCCCTTTAGAGTATTCTTCTCCAAAAATCAACTTCTGATTCATTCCAGAATGGAGCTGACAGCCCTTAGGCACTCACTGAAGGTGAGACTGTTTAGCAAACTAAGCACAGGCATTACAATAATGTTTGAATTAGTTTTAATCACAGTGGCCTAGATTCTCATGCTCCCAGGACTCTACTGTCTCTCTTCCATGTCTGAGACCCATGGGAGGGCTGCAGGTGGAGAAGACTCACTAGAGTGCAGAAGAAGAAGGAGAATTTAGGTCAATTACCTTTTGAAGTGTGATCCTTTTAAACAGCTACTCAAGGTAGTATCATGCTAACTGACCTGTGTATAATAAAAATGACTTGTGCTCTATTTTAAGTTGTAATGGATCAAAAGTATTAAATATATGTGAGAAAGAAAAAGATCAAGAGAAGTTTCATTCATGTTCTTTTTGGAATCTAGTATTAGGAAATATCAAGTATGTAGTTTACCTCTCTTAAAATCTGGGCTTGAAAGTAGGTGCCTCCAATTCATTCTCTTCCAGCTGAGTCTTTGTCTTCTCCACTTATAAGCTGAGGAGACAAGTAGTTTAGATGTCACCACGGGATGTCTGGTAAATATATTTTAAAAATGGAAAAAATCATTACTTAGATGAATGTATGGGGTAACCAGGAATATAGGCATATAGGAATGTTTGCTATGGATCCATTCCCAAAGTTTCAGTTATCTCGTTTTTCTTTTCTTTTTTCCCCTCTTCTCCCCTCCCTCTCTTCTCTTCTTTTGGTAACGAGGATTGAAATCAAGGTTTTGAGCATGCTAGCAAGCGCTCTACCACTGAGCTAACCCCTAGCTCTCTTTCAAAAATTTTACTTTGAGACAGGTCTTCCTTAAACTTGGGATCTTCACGTCTTAGCCTCCAGAACAGCAAGATTACAGGTGTGAGCCACAACTTTTGGCCCCAAAGGTTTTTGCATTGTTTTTTAATGCATTGTGCATTTAGAAGCATACTTTTGTTAGTTTTTGTAGAAAAAATTTAAAACAAACCATAAAGAAAAATTTGGTAGATCTTTTTTTAACCTTTAAAAACTGCCTAAAATTCTGACATACTCATTTTTCATTCAATAATTATTGGCACGCCCTACCGAGGTCCTGAGTCGCGCGGAAGATGCCGAATCACCCCACTGCAGACAGGAAGGTCTGCCCATGCCCTACCTAGGTCCTGAGTCGCACAGAATACGCCGAATCAGCCCACTGCAGACAGGCAGGTCTGTGCACTCCCTACCAAGGTCCTGAGTTGCGCGGAAGACGCCTAATCACCCCGCTGCAGACAGGCAGGTCTGCCCACACCCTACCGAGGTCCTGAGTTACACGGAAGACACTGAATCACCCCGCTGCAGACAGGCAGCCACCTGATTCCAGACTACAAAGACGCAGAGGACACCAGACGACCAGACCAAGGTACTGAGTCCCACTGTTCCCGCCCCAGAGGTAGGGGCTTCTGAGCCGTTGTCCCATTGCTCCTGGTCCAGAGAAAGGGGCTTCCCAGTCACCATCCCTCCCTCTGCTC